CGTGATGATGACGGTCCCCGACGGACAGACTCCGAAAAGTGCCGTGACGGTGGATGACTATCCAGAAGATCAGGATGGAGACGCTGTAATGACGACTCAGGAAGCTCAACTGTTGGGACATGCATTCGCGAGACAGGTTACGGCATCCGAGCCCCGACGATCACGAAGCCCACAATCTTCTGTTAGAGAACCGGAACCCAAACGACCGCAGCACCAACCGCCGCGGCCGAACATGTCTTCAATTCCATCAGCGTCCACGCTTCATTCATATCCATCGTCGGATGCGACGACTCGAGGTGTCAAGCGTGAGGTTCAAGGTACAAGTTCCATGAGGAGTTCACCAGGATTCAGCTCTGGGATCTTTTGGGTAACGGGAGGTTCGGATGAATCTCTACCGAGTGCGACGTCCGGAAGTCGAGTGTCGCGAGACAGCACCTCTGGATCGTCAGGATGGTCCTTTGGAATTGGAGCCTGAACACACATGCCTTTCGCAGGCGTGATGCCGCGCGTGATGACCACTCAAGAAACCCGCGGAGCCATTCCAATTGAAGGTTACGTTCAGACGTACATCCCTCCGGGAGATCGCCGACGAGTACCTTTGGAAGTTGACCAACATGACGTGGAGATGTCGGATCCCGAACCACCACGAAACCCAAGTCGATCTTCAAAAGCGGAGCAGAGACATAGTCAAAGCCGGAAGTCGAGTTATCCAGAAGACTCTTCAGATGACGAAAGGCACCGGCGCCGAAGACGTTCTCGAAGTCGCTATGGCAACGATCGATCACGTCGGGAAAGAACTGCGTCTGTAAGCTCGAAGTATTCCGAACGCACTGCCAGATCTGGTCACTCGTCACGCTCGTCGACATCTGGAACGACCCAGGTGGCTTTGACAGCCATTCACGAAGTGAAGGATTCGATGGCGCAGATGCAGAAGACCCAAGAGACACTGATGGCCGCGATGAGTACGCTCGCGCTGCGGGACGCCGGAAACTTGGACGTCAAAGAAGAGCAGGAACTTCTTCTGAGTGCAGCTCGACACCAAGCGTTCGGAAGCCAATCTCCAGAAGTATCACACGTGGAAGCCGGGTATCTGGCCCAGGATGCATTAGAGTCACGCTTCGCTGAGTATCAGGCTCGAGCTGAAGCACACATGGAGGCACAACGGCGACAACACTTGGACGAGATGGCCACTTTTGATAAGGAGTTCCAGACTCTGTGGTTGGAACGTGACCAGGAGCGCGAGGCAAAGAAGCATCTGCAATCGTTCATCGTCGGGCACCTGAAGAACCAAACGGAATGTCAAGGAGTGGGTGACAATGGGTTGAAAAAGGTCCCCGAAATGACAACCCACGTGTATGTAAACTCTGATTCGACAACTGGGAAGCCAATCTCAAGTGGCGTAAACATGGGTGTCCCACCAGTTCTGAGAGAACAGATGGTACCGCCAGAAGTCAAAACGCTCTACGCCACTCAGACACAGGCCGCCCTAAGAGACTTAAATGAGACTAAGGAGAACGTCGTGCACGCGGCAGCCGCTAAGGCACCAACGTCGATGGCGGTGAAGACGGAGGCGACGGCAGATGTCCAAAAGGCACCCGCGGAGGGCAAGACTCGCAAGAGGAGAACAAGAAAGCCGGACGAAGGAAAGAAGGAACTGCCGAAGGATGATTCGAAGAAGAAGTCAACCCCGCCGAGTCAACCCCCAGAGAAGCATGGTCCGCCTGATGAAGAGCCTTCGGAAGATGACAACGATTCCGACAAGCAGTCCGGAGACAGTGACTCTGACAGCTGCTCGTTTGAAGATCTCGTGTCTGGGACGCAGGTTCGTGCAACCGGCCAAGGAACGATTATGTTCAACTCAATGGTTAACATTACAGCGTTGGAAGATTTTGACGAGAAGCAGCCGCTGGCTGTCCGAACGCGCTCGTTAGAGAAGTTCCAAAGTCTCGCGGCCATGGGAAGGTGATCAGGCCATGCAAAGGTTTACTACTGCAAGCTGAAGTTATCTTCGGCTGTTCGTGATTGGCGTGGGAATCTGGAGGAATCGGTGCGTCGAAGTTGGAAACGCGTCGTGAAAGCTTTTCGTGAGGAGTATTGCAAACCGAAGACTCCAGATTCGGAATACTACTACACGACTTTCCAAAGGAAGAGCGAAACCCCCCGAGAGTTCTACTACAGGTTGAACAAGATTGCTGGTAAAGCGGACATTGACGTCAAGTCTACAGGCGTTGCACGCGAACGACATCTGAAAGTGTTTATCAAGAAGTTGAAGGACCCTCAACTGAGATCGACGTTGCAAGGTCAGCGGGTCCGCAGTCTGAAGGTCTTGGAACATATCTTGAAACAGCACGAAGAAATCTGGTGGAGTGATCACCGAGAATCGCGCCCTTTGAAAAGCCATGAAAGGAAATCTGTCCTTCGGAAATCGACAACGACAAAAGCTCAACAGTCGGGCGTATAATGTGAACGAGGACGAAGTCTTTGCGAGTGACGACGACCGACAAGTCTTGTTTGATCAAGGCGTTGAAGGCGCGCACCAGAAAGTGTCGTTTGGAGAATCTGTCTGCGACAGGGACGTCGACCGACAAGTCTTGTTTGATCAAGGCGTTGAAGGCGCGCACCAGAAACTGTCGTTTGGAGAATCTGTCTCCGACAGGGACGTCGATGGTTTGTCTGGAGATATCCCTGACCGAAACATGATTCTTCAGAAACAAGACGGCACCTCAGAAGTCTACCGGATTTTGGAGAATTCCAGATGGAGGCCTCCAAACTCTGAGTACAGATCACCGCCAAAGACTGACTTCGGAATATCACAACAGATGCGTCATTGCGACAACTGTGGCGAGGTATCGCACTCCACGGAATTCTGCTGGGCGGATATGGAATGCAACCGATACCACAAGAAGGGACATCCCGCTAAATATTGCAATGTTGATCCTTGTCCGTTCTGTTACAAATTTCATGACGGCGAGTGTCATGGACTGAAGACTCTACAAGCACTCAAAAATCTCGCCAAGCAAGGAAGCCTGAATGATATTCCTGATCACCTCCTCAATCAACTTCTGGATGGACACGCTGATTCTGGGACGAAGCCGTTTAACCATTAAGCCCGCTGGATGGGGATCCAGTACGCGACGGGCCCAAGACAACCCCAGAATTATGTGTGTTAGCTTATATTGGACCAGAGTTGAGAAGGCAAGATCAAGATAATCAACAATCCATGAATGTATTTGATGAAGATCTCCTTGTGGAAGGGTCGTTTTCGGATGACTCCCAGAGCAAACATTCAGATGGTTCAGATATCACCATGCGTCCAGAATTTCGCCTGAAACGAGGTGAACGCTATGGATGGTGGCATGATCATGTGCAAGAAGAGAATCGGAAAATTGCATTGGTACATGGAGCGGTGAATAACCTTCGGACGGATATATTCTTGGATTCTGGAGCGTCAGGGAGCATGGTGAGTTTGGGCCTTGCGCGTAGGCTAAAACTCAAACTCAAGCATGACAAACAGATTTCAGTGTCCGGACTCGGAGGTGTGCCAACCAGCATTACTGCAAGTGCCGAGGTGAAGATCACTTTGGGATCAAGAGTGGTTTATGTTGTCGATGTTTGGGTCGCAAACATTGGAGGAGGTTTGGATGTGTTACTCGGACTGAACTTTATCTTTTCGGCTGGAGTACGGTTATGTGTCAAAGAGGACTCGTTCAACTCCCGGATGAAGAGACAGTTTTACTTTCAGGAAGAGGGTTATCCCACGTCAAGCATGGTATGGCGCACGGAATCCGTCCAAAGTATATTATGTATCTCCAACCTGGAGAGTACCGGATGATCCAACTGCCAGCGTTCCGAAAGTTAATGCAGTCGTCGACCGTATGGGCTGGAAGAGGAGATCTGTGGGTCGCCCAGGTGTTGTACGCTTGGAAGGTTCCTGCTGCTATTAAGGTAATCAACATTTCCGACCGCATTGTCATTGCCGACTGGCGGACTGAAGTTGCTCAAGTTGTCGAGAATGGGTTCTTTCCGAGACCGGGACGTTATGTACGCGTTGGTACTCGAAGATATCGGGAATGACAGACTCTTATTTATAACAATACTATATCCGCCAAAGCCCAGGCTCGAGAGTCAAAACGTCTAGACGACCTTCAGAAGATGGAACCACCAGCCGTCCAAACGCCGAACTATCCGTGGCCGACTATGATGATTGTTCGTCCATCGCCTGGTTGCGAGGAAGCGAGAGTGATCAACCTTCAGATAGTTCCAAGTGAAGTGTATGGTGAAACACCTGCAGTAGGTAAGGGGTTGGCAATGAGGACGCCGGGAGTGATTACGACAATGCCTGAAGTGAGTGAGATTTCGGAAGTTGAAGATGAAACGACGGACGTTCTAATAGGTGAACTTGAGAAAGTGCTAGATGACCAGGGCTCAGATGATGATGAGTTTTTCGACTCAATTAGTGTCGACGATGGTTTTCCAGAAGTCAACTTGGAGGACATTCCAAAAGTGGAACCCGAGGATGATGTCTTTTCGGACCTGCCGGTGTCGGTGATGGCTTGTACACCAATTCAGGAGCTCGAGCTAGAGTACGAACGTGTCATGCGAATAAGTGCTGAAGAATTGGACCTCGAGCCCGCAGTTTATATTCATGAAGGGAGTGAAACGTTATCACAGCTCCGGGAACAACTCGCGTTGCTTCCGGATATCGAAGAACTATCTCCGAAATGTGATATTGATTCGGCTGACGTTGGCGAGTCTGGGACGAGCACTCCAGAAGACGAGCGAAAATTGCGAGCGATCCTGAAGTATCATCGAGCCATTTTTTTGGGAGATGGGAATGCGGTTCCAGCCCCAGCGCGAGGTGTGACCTGTGATTTGGACGTTGGAGAGGCAAACCCCGTCGCTCAACGTCCCCGATCTGTGGCACCGCACTTATCGATTAAAGTGTATGAATTGCTGAAAAAACGTTTGGAAACCTGACTCATCGAGCATTCAGAATCATCATGGGCATCACTCATTGTGATCGTACTCAAGAAAAATGGTTTGGACATCCGAATGTGCTTGTCGACTACCGAATTGTCAATGGATTCATTACGTTGTCCAATTACCCTCTACCGTTGATAGATGATCTGCTGGTTGGATTTGAAGATGTCATGTGGTTCATGAGTTTGGGTATAGCGAGTGATTCTTGGGCAATCAAGATGTCCGAAAGAGCAAAGCTGATATCGGCGTTTGTTTGCCCATTCGGACATTTCCAATGGACTCGTATGCCATTCGAACTCAATAATGCACCACTGATATACCAGTCGGTTATCAACAATTGTCGGTGGGGATTTGTGGGACTGCCTCCGGAAGAAGAAGCAGAAGTCGATCAAGATGTCGTGGATTTGCTAGGTTTGGATCCTACAGATAATCAAGAATCCGAAAGGGGGCGTCCAAACGACGAAGTAAAGGGACTCACAGACTCCATGACGGTTTTCCAAAGGAATATTCTCATGCCTTCACACATCGGTCCAGTGCTAGGACGCAGCTCTTATATCGACCCATGGCGCGAAAACATGGAACCAACTTTGTGAGGACCTGGACACTTTGCTCTACCGCTTACGTTACTGAAATATTTCGGTGAGCTTACCAAAAAGCGAGTTTGGAAAACGGTTGATCCCCTATCTGTCCCACAAAGTTAGTGCAGAAGTTATCCGAGCGACCCCAAAAGTTGCGAAGGGTGTTATGGATTTACCGTTTCCCAAATCCCACAAAGGTATACTATCGTTTCTCGGAAGTCTAAACTACTATCACAAGTTCATCGAAGACTTTCCGGTAGTGGCAGCAGTTCTTTATGAACTTTCAGAAGACCAGATACGTCAGGGACGAGATCTTTCACGAGCTCATGAATCTTTCGAAATGCTCAAAAGGAAAATCGTTGCGACACCCGTGTTAAGACACGCGGATGTCCAGAAGACATTTGTGGTAATTCCGCACGCGAACCGTTGGGCTGCTTGTACAGTCATAGGACAAGAATACGGCGGGAAGATACAACCCGTTCGGAACACGGGACGCGTTTTGAATGATGCCGAGCTCCGGTATCACATTGCTGAGAAGGAGGTAATTGCTATCCTGAGGGCGTTGCAAGTCTTTCGGGCGATTCTGGAAGGCCGACAACTGATCGTCTACACCAGATATTCTGTTCTGAAGTGTGTGTTACAGTCTAAGTCAGCAGACAGAAGGTGCGTTCCTTGGGGAGTCACGCTTTCACATTGGGATATCGAAATCCGGAAAGTCCAAAAAGGACGAAGACGGACTTGCAGCCATCATGGGTGCAGGGATCACAACACGATAACATTTGGATGAAGCTGTTGAGACACTGATCCCTCTGAAGGGACATGTCCGAAGGCCCCCACTAGTGAGTGTTGAGAAGTTGGGAAGCGACTTTCAAGGAGTCGTTCTGAGTTTCGACGGTGCCGCAAAGCTCTCCATCAAGAAAGGAAGCTGAGGTTGTGTGTTATGGCAACTACCCGGTTGGAAGGTTCTGAAAGCAAAGAGTTTCCTTTTAGAGAATGTCACGGTAAACGATGCTGAGTACCATGGACTTCTCAAAGGACTCGAGATGACCATTGGAATGAGGTTGCAAGATTTGGTCGCAGTTGGAGATTCTCGAATTGTTCTTCGACAGGTTCAAGGACTGATCAACTGCAATCAACCACATCTCCAAAGGCATCTTGCCAAAGTTGAGCTACTGAAAGAGAAGTTCGGATCGTTACGTCTGGTCCATCTGAAGCGGGAATACAATTAGGCCGCCGATTATTTGATCACAAAGACTCTGATTCTGGATGAGTCATGGGACATTACAGACACGGTGGAGATTGCACATTTGGAGCATGTGTCAAAGATCGCAGAGAAACTCATGAAGGTGGAAGGTTCCGAGTTGAAATCTGGAGTTGATCCAACTTCTGGGGAAACACTGTCAAGAGACGTCGAACAGCCTACTGCAGAGTCAGGTCCATTGACAAAATCAGCCCTCGTGCTCGCAGCAGTAAGGCGTTCCAGAGGCCAAGCCGAATTCACTTCGAGGGACCGACTTATGGACCCTTTGGAATTCCAAGCTGAACGATGGCGACGCATTCGAGTGCATCAGAATGCAGATGAATACCTGTCAGAGATCAAAGACTTTCTGAAGGAGGACTTCGAGAAGGTTTTGCCCAGAAGACTGAGAAAGATTACCAAGGTTGCCGATCTATTTGTACTTGACACTAGGGATGTGTTGCATCGACTAGCTTGCTCGACTCGTGATCGCCCGCGTGACTTTCAGGATGAACCTCGACTCGTCGTTCCAAAAGCACTCCGGGACGATGTTTTACATTACGGTTACGAAGATTTCCAAGGAGGTCACCAAGGCATCACAAGGACCCATACGAAGTTATGTTCAGAATTCTATTGGCCTGGCATGTACGCGGATGTAGAACACTTTGTGCAAGAGTGCGTTGATTGCGCAAGTGGAAAAGGAAAACCTCCAAACGCTGGACAATCGCCCGGTAATATCGAACCCCGACAACCTTTTGAAGTTGTGTCGATGGACTTCGTGACGCATATGCCGAAGTCCGATCGAGGGAACACGTTTTTGCTACTGTTCCAAGATATGTTTTCGGGATATGTAATGTGCAAACCTATGGATTCAACCACCACTCAAGATGTCGCGGAAGCTTACGAAGAACGTGTATTTCGGAACTTTGGAGCAAGTTCGATGATTCGGCACGATCAAGACCCCCGTTTCATGAGCGAGGTGTTTACTCGTTTTCGGGAACTTCTGAATAGCCGTCAAAGGGCCACTTTGGGATACCGACCCCAAGCAAACAGACAACAGGAACGATCTGTCCAAACGGTTGTCAGGGGGGACGAAAAGTTCAGAGAGATTATGACTATGCGAAAGCGTGTGCCGAGGACTTGCAGAACAAAGCCCGACGACATCGTTCCGACCTCCAAACGCAAAAGTGGAAGGAGTTATCCGAACGCCTGAAATCAGGATTTCAGAAAGGAGACGCCGTATGGTTATACATCCCAAAAGTGCAGACTGGACTAAGTAAGACGTTGGCGCACTTATGTAATGGGCCTTTTCGAATTGATGAAGTGTTAGACGATTTCAGGGTGAAGCTGAAAGTTGACAGTACCGGTTACCGAGTCAATCCGTGAGTTCATATCAGTCGTCTGAAACCAAGAGCCTTGTTTCCCAAAAGACCGACAGTCACTGTGGATGTGGATGAAGAAGATGAATTTTATGCTGCGCTACTCCCAGAAGACAGTTGGGAAGACGATGCCCAAAAGGATGAGAACGAGGTTGAGAAGATTTTGGATCTTCGATGGTCTAAGAAAACTCGGATATCTAAAAGGTGTCAAGAGTACCTTGTCAAATGGAAGAGTTATGACGATCCAGAATGGCTTCCTGCATCTCAACTGAATTGTGGAGCATTACTCTATGAGTTTAACCAAGGTGCACGCGCTAGAGCCCGCTTTCAAAGTATGCAAGCTGGTGACGACCACCCTCGGAGCTAACGTTTCGAAGGCCGATCGATGTGGTGTATGTTGTGTGAAACGACGGGAAATTGTACTGAACTTGTTGCGATTTTGGAGAGTTAAGCCCCGAGCCCGCTGTTCCCGAAGTTTCGTTTGGATATCTGAGCAACGCGTTGTCTCATCACTGCCTGTCACTTCGCGAGTAAATCGCTCTTTAAAAGGCAACGATCATAGGGACGGTTGTAACTGGGCAAAATTTCCCAGTCAGGTAACCTTCCTGAAAAAGCTGA